TACTCATATCCCTTCTGAAAAATTTTCAGTCCTGAAATAATAAATTCTGTCTCAGTTTTCATGGAAGCACCCCAGTATCTTACGAAATTATTGATGTAGGTAGGAATCTGAAATTACCAATGACCAAGTAGGATCATCTTCAATGATACACTGCTCGCCAGCAGCCACAGAAACACCGACATTCCAAGAGGAAAAATTTATTGAATAGGAAATTTCACTTAATGGTTGTTCTGAAATCGAGAATCATGAAGTCAGTTCCCATCAGGAATAATGAAATAACAATCAGAACTAGTACAATCGAATTGATTATCAGGAGTGATCCAATAGATCAGAAATCATGACGGTGTCGAGATTTTCAACCTATCTTGTCTCTTGATATTATTTTCCGGACATGTGAGTAGTTCCACGGATGTTGGCGAGCAGTTTATATCAATAAAGATTACTCCTATTGGTCATAGCGTACGTTTTTGATATATCTCTTGCTCCAGCAAATTTTAGGATCCTTACCCAACGATTACGTAAGATACAGGGGTGTTTCCATTTGAAGTGTGACACACTGTAGGTAATATAGTAATGAGATTATTCAGACTATATAAAAAACACCCTATATGTTCTGATTTTCATTCAGCGTGTTGAGGGTCTGATCTTTCACGAGAAGGGTTGAATTACAAGTGTATAGTGGAAGTGATTCTGTAAGACGATATCTTGGAAGAAACCTTAAAGTCAGTCTTCTTCCTTTTGTTTTGTTTTCTCTTCTATATTCGATATTATAATGTATCGAAAAGGAAGTTGGCCAAATATATTTTTACTTTTTTCATCGGTGTTTTATTAAAAAGAGATATCAACGATCGTGTGTAATTTGACTTAGAGGAAGTTCGGCATGCGCAGGAGGGCACAGTATCCTGAACAAGACATGTCCCAAATAATTGCATGAAATCGATGCCCAATTTTTCAAAATAGGGATAGACTATTAATTGCTGTCAATTTATGTCATTACTTTTGGGTGTATGATGAATTGACAGGGCGTAGAAAGAAATTCTGAATTGAGACTCTACCACGAATCTGCGATTAGAGGTCTATAAAAATCACAAGTTTCCATCGTTCAAGTTTGAACCCCCTGATTGGGTATGAAAGTGTTGAAAAGGAATATTCTCAGATAAATTATGGACATACAAAAATGGAAATATATTTATAATATGAAGCAATACATTGAGAATTCGCATTCTCTATGTAATGAGAATATCTACTCTTTTTCTGTTTATTCAATAGAAAACAACTACTTTCCTGGCTATATGCCACGACGAACATTGAATTATATCTATTGAACACACACGATAAATAAAAACTTCTGAAATTGAGAATTTGCATTCTCCTTCAGACAAAAATATGTATATTCACACATCATTCTGAATATTCAACAGAAAACAACTACTTTCCTGGCTATTTGCCACGTCGAACATTGAACTTAACAAATAAAAGAATATAATGCCACCTTTGCGAATATCCAAACGTGCCGCGATTCAAACTGATCTAAGTAAGTGGCAAAGCGTCAATACGTCCCAGAATATTTCGCCTCCCACCAAACAAAGATAATATCCGATGGACCAGTGTGGAACTCAACATGTGGATTAGAATACTTGTAGCGAGAGCACGGCATGAGTTTCAAACTGGTCTATCGGATATTATCTTTAGACGAGGGTGGAATATACACGGAAATATTGACGCTCTGCCACTTACTTAAATCAGTTTGAATCACGGCACGTTTGAATATTCGCAAAAGAGACAGGCTCCCTTTCATTTGCTTTTTGTTTCAACTCGATTTCACATGACGGAAGTATGTCCGGACAAATTTCTCTATCAGGGAGCCTAAAAGAAAAATCCAGTAGCTTGTCAGTGACTATTCGTTATATAGTTATAGTTTGATACTGTAAGTCATTTGTGGACTTAAATCACTCATTCATATGCCAACATCAGTATGACACTGAGACGTGTCAAAGTGTCAAACAGAGCACAACTTCCAAAGAAAAATATTTTGCATGTTCATGTTGAGAACGGGAGCAGATTCGTTCCCGAAACGTCCAGATGAATAAAAATTCGATATTTTTTCAATATATCTATACCGGGTGACACAGGAGACATGTAGCAGCCTGTAGTTTTTTTATTTGAAGAGATAAAATTTTGAAATTCACATGGAGTATATAATAAATGGTAGCGCACTTTACGAACTTAACGACAATTTTTTTCAACCACATGTTTGACCGGATGTGACCCCAACTTTTTTTTTCAAATGTCACCCTGTACATTTCTTCAGTCTATCTTTTTCGCCTTGAAATTCTCTATCCAACCATGTATCACAAAGTGGCATTTATTGCTTAATAAAAAAGAATAAGTTGGCTGTGACATGAATTCGATGATATATCGACACTTGGTAGGCTTTGAAATTTGAATATCATTAGTAAAACGATATTATTCAAAATGTTCTGATATTCTGATCAATGTCTGCAGGTTGTCAATAGCTTGTTTGAGTCAAGATGAAAACCTTCGAAAATAACTCATGATATGAGGAATCTAAGATAGGAACATATTTTTTCGAATTCAGCTACTCGTACAGAAACTGTCTTTTATTTTTGTCATGTATCTATCACATGATCTTCCCATTTGGAATAATGAAACTAAAATTGTTCCTCTTATACGATGATCCACAGGGCTATCAGTCTATTTTTTCATAATTATTTCACTTAGTAGGCGGTGTACCTACACAAAATGTTTTATGTGTTTGACAGTTAATCGATTGCATCAATAATTTTTCTTCTTCATTTGTGTGTTGATTGAAATTGCATATTAACAACATATCGACTTTTTCGTTTCTTGAATACATTTAGGTTGGGTTACTAGATCTGGTAACATATGTTAGGTTAGGTTACTAGATCTAGTAACATATCTTAGGTTAGGTTACTAGATCTGGTAACATATCTTAGGTTGGGTTACTAGATCTGGTAACATATCTTAGGTTAGGTTACTAGATCTAGTAACATATCTTAGGTTAGGTTACTAGATCTGGTAACATATCTTAGGTTGGGGGACTAGATCTGGTAACATATATTAGGTTGGGTTACTAGATCTGGTAACATATCTTACGTTAGGTTACTAGATCTAGTAACATATCTTAGGTTAGGTTACTAGATCTGGTAACATATCTTAGGTTGGGTTACTAGATCTGGTAACATATCTTAGGTTAGGTTACTAGATCTAGTAACATATCTTAGGTTAGGTTACTAGATCTGGTAACATATCTTACGTTGGGTTACTAGATCTGGTAACATATATTAGGTTGGGTTACTAGATCTGGTAACATATCTCACGTTAGGTTACTAGATCTAGTAACATATCTTAGGTTAGGTGTTAGATCTGGTAACATATCTTAGGTTGGGTTACTAGATCTGGTAACATATATTAGGTTGGGTTACTAGATCTGGTAACATATCTTAGGTTAGGTTACTAGATCTGGTAACATATCTTAGGTTAGGTTACTAGATCTGGTAACATATCTTAGGTTAGGTTACTAGATCTGGTAACATATCTCAGGTTAGGTTCGTTTCTTGAATACATTTTCTGTCTCTATTGATAATATGCAATTTTAATCAACACACAAATAAAGAAGAACAATTATTGATGCAATCGATTAACTGTCAAACACATAAAACATTTTGTGTAGGTACACCGCCTACTAAGTGAAATAATTATGAAAAAATAGACTGATAGCCCTGTGGATCATCGTATAAGAGGAACAATTCTAGTTTTATTATTCCAAATGGGAAGATCATGTGATAGGTACATGGCGAAAATAAGAGACAGATAGTTTCTGTACGAGTAGCTGAATTCGAAAAAATATGTTCCTATCTTAGATCCCTCAATATCATGAGTTATTTTCGAAGGTTTTCATCTTGACTCAAACAAGCTATTGACAACCTGCAGACATTGATCAGAATATCAAAACATTTTGAATAATATCGGTTTACTGATATTTAAATTTCAAAGCCTACCAAGTGTCGATATATCATGGAATTCATGTCACAGCCAACTTATTCTTTTTGAATAAAAAGCAATTCAACAGCGAATCAAGAAATAAATGCCACTTTGTGATACATGGTTGGATAGAGAATTTCAAGGCGAAAAAGATAGATTAAAGAAATGTACAGGGTGACATTAAAAAAAAATGTTGGGGTCACTTCCGGTCAAACAGGTGGTTGAAAAAAATTGTCGTTAAGTTCGTAAAGTGCGCTACCATTTATTATATACCCCCTGTGAATTTCAAAATGTTATCTCTTCAAATGAAAAAACTACATGCTGCTACATGTCTCCTGTGTCACCCGGTATTTCTTTCTTTCAAACATTTTTTCGAACAAATTGTCACTGACAAGCTACTGAATTTTTCTTCTAGGTTCCCTGATAGAAAAATTTGTTAAACGCAATGACATTTTGGGGCAAATCATCTGATTCGTCCCACTACAAATATATTGAAATAATACGCATATTTTTATTTCATAGAAGCGACGAGAGAAAATCCCAAAAAATCAATTGAAATGCATATATTATATCATTTCGTTATCAGATGACGGTATAGAAATATGCAGCCCTTATTATATGTGATAGCATAAATGGACAGCAATTAATAGTCTACCCCTATTTCGAAAATTGGGCATTGCATGATTTCATGCAATTATTTGGGACATGTCTTGTTCAGGATACTGTGCCCTCCTGCGCATACCGAACTTCCTCTAAGTCAAATAACACACGATAGTTGATATCTGTTTCTAATAAAACACCGATGAAAAAAGTGAGAATATATTTGGCCAACTTCCTTTTCGAGTTACCTATACTCCGAGCGAAAAAGTATCCCTACGGCGCTAAAGTACCACTTCACCTCGCAAAATCGGGCAGTAAAGTGCTACTTTACGCTCGGTCGTGCATAAAGCATATTTTTAAAGCAAATTCCTGACCTTGTGCCTCCTGTTTGTAGGAATTGAGCGATCCATCGGAACTGTGAGAGGAACGGACCCCTTGCTTTTTGAACACCTCTAGATCCCTTATGTGACTAAACGGCGAAGATTCTAAAAATGGCCGCTGTCCTAACCCTATCGCCCTATATGACGTATGCTGACCACCTGAAACGAAAACAAACATCATCAGCTCCTACCCCGATGAAAAATTGGTGAATTGTTTAACGCGCACGCACCGAGAAAAATCCAGTAAAAAGTCGACGTTTTTAACTTGAAACAGGTCACTTCTAAATCACTCTTTTTGTTTCAGAAAGGTTACCTTATAGATTTGATATGGAACAAGATTATAGTTAAAAGATGGAATTCAAAAGATATCATTTGAATCCTCAAAGATGTCATTTCACAGTTATACAAGTATCATTTCAGTTACATATCTTCTTCATTTTCCATCTTTGTCACACTCGTTTACACAATGAGTCATCTCACTCATTTATGAACACTTGTTCCATCAGAATCGTCGTCTACGGATATGTAAGGAAATATGAGCCCGCAGCAGCTCGTGAACCCTTCTTACAGGGTGATTTTTTCTGAGAAAGTGAAGTGGTTTAAGGTTCTTCTAGAAATTTTAGGGGCATATCCGTTCATATATCCCACAAGTGTAGGATTTGTTGTGGAACTGCAGGAAGTTGAACTGCATCAGGGCGTTATAGTGTTTTTACGATAAATCGGTAATGTATCGAAAATTCTTTCATTTCGGATAAAATTTTGCATTTTTACCTACGGCCACTATAGGAAGTAAGCAAGAATACACGAGATACAGCCTCAGTAAGTAGCTCTTTACGCACAGTAAGTATATCGCACAGTTTTCGTTTATTCTATTATAGAATGGAGCTAGGAGAGAAAATCCTAAAAAATCTGGAATAGTGAAAGAGTAACTTCTGTTTTACCTGTATAATGATCATGCTATCAGCTTTTTTCAAGATTTAATATTCAGGCTCTGAATCATAAATCTACGATTTGGTCGAAATTTCACCAGAATCGGTCAAGAATTGAAAAAGTAACAGGGCGATTGGTTTCATTTGCAAATCAACATTTCTTAATGCAATTATAGGCAATCAACCTAATTGGAGGATGCTGAATCAATTGGTGTGGTCTATTTCTTTTTGAAAAAATCCTAAATGATATTTCGTAGTTTTTAACATGGACGAAGGAACATAGTATACCTTGAAAATTGGAATTATATTATGCAAATTTGTGGACACGGAGACCCATCCATTGTGCTGTTTTCAGTGGTTTTCATATTCATTTAATGATCATGGACAGGGGCGGACTGGCCCGGAGGGCGAGAGGGCGAAGCCCTCCGCGCCTTTGCCCAGTGGCGCCCTTGTCCCTGGTATACTAAGACTCCAAGAAAGCAAAGAAAGAAAAAACGCGCTGCTATCGCGCCTTACGAAGGCCAGAAAGCAACGTTTTTAATTTCATTTTCGAATGCAGACTTTCTACTCGGAATGACGACATTGTTACTTGGAATTCTGACGTTTTACAATTTCAAAAAATGTCAGCCGTTCCTGAAATATTTTGAAAAAACTTTTCTTAGTCAATATTTGGGAAAAGCTATTGAAATTTTGTATATCAGGTGATTGATCATGATGAAGAAGTTGGGATTGTCAGAAATATTTTTCAATATTTTCAGAGATTCAACATGCAAACTACGTTTTTCTTATGGGCGCTATATCTGTTTTTATATACCATTGAATGAAAATAGCGTTAAAGAACAGTGAAAACATTTTTAAATGTGGTAGGCCATGAAAATGAGAAAACATATATTATCAGTCGTCATGACTACAATATCGATACTTCTTAATAACCATGAATAACTTGCTATATTATTACAAAAGGCACAGAAAACCTCAGAATATAAATTTTTCGTTGAATAATCAAGATACTATTTCCTTCAACTATTATTGAAGGTTATCATTCAGTGTAAGACTTGGTCTTGACATGAGTTTTATTCCAGTTATATTTCTATGATTGAATTTGAATTGGTAAATCTCTGAAAATAATAGATAGAATATTTCTGAGAATCCCAACTTCTTTACCATCCATGATTAATTACCTGTTCACACATAATTTCAATATTTTCCCTCTAATATTAACCAAGAGAATAATTAGGAACGAAATCAGTGATTTTTAGTCTTTTCAAAATATTTCAGGAACGGCTGACATTTTTCGAAAGTGCATAACGTCATATTGAATAAGTTCAAATTAAGCAACGTTTGTCCTATCTAATCAACTTTATATCTCTTACTGTTTGAGAAATAGCAAATCTGTGTCTATTAAATCGTTGATGGGACACTGTATATTTCTTTACCACGGAAAGACCTCTCAAAGAGCTTTCCAAAGACACATCATTCAATATAATCATCTTCCATATTTTTCAATTCTTGAGTATCTAAGACTAACAGAGTTTGATCAATTTTTGATATAAAATAATAAGAATGATTGCAAATCTGATCAGCAAAAAATAAAATTGTTATCATTGTCATGGCCTATACTCTCAAAAACTATTCAAAATCCATGAAACTCTGATGTTTGTTGCGAATCGTTTTAAAAGCCTATATTTGGGGGAATACATGCAGAAGATGAATATATTGAGTAGATATTTTTTCAGATAGTAAGAATGTATCTGTTTATTCGAGAAGGAGATAATATCATACATCAATAATCAGGGGTTGTTTTTAATTTTTCATGCAATATTCCAATATTGGGCCAAATCCGAGTTGAGATTCGGATTAAAAAGAAAATGGTACACTTCTATGCCTCAGTATGAACACTCAGACAATCATTTCATGTTGCGCCCTTTGTTCCACAAAGCCCTCTAGCTTTTTTCAACCCAGTCCGCCCCTGATCATGGATTGGTAATAATTGAAATTTTGATTGGAACAACAACTGATGAATGAATGATGTCACTATATTATGATTCGCAAAATATTGGATAATGTCCATTCGCAAATTTTATAATTTTCTGAATGATTGAAAATCAACTGGCGTCCATAAATTATTCCAAAATCAATGAATCCACGGTTTGAAAATATGTGCGGTTCTATGTATGATGATGAATTTTTAATGACTTACTGTGTTGCGGGAAACTTGTATAATGAATTATTGTATGACTATAAAAAAATTCATGAGCCAGTTAAAACATAAATCAGATGTTTTTCAATATTAATAATCCACTACTATTGAAATAATGCTATCATTTAAAATTTTAATTTCTAACAATTATCACGTTGTAAAATTTAATTTAGCATCATGTGACGATACTATTGTATAATAATATAACACGTGGAAAATTCAACTGTTTATTTTGTCGTAGACACATTGGTTGTTGATTCACCTACAGGGTGTGAGGTACGGAAAAAGTAGAAGGGAAAAAAGTGAATATCAACATTTGCCCTTTTGTTTCGTTTTCGACATAGAGGGTAACAAAAGTTTTCATGAATCGTAATATCGTACTGTTATTAATTACTCGAAAGTATTTTTGTCAGCTTCAATGAAACTTGGTGGTTTGGTAAGAAAGAATAGAAATGCTACTGTTGTTTGTATTTTATTTTATTTCTTTATTCAGCCTTTTTTGTCTGAAGTCAGATTTTTTTATCTAAATTCAGACATTTTTATCTAAATTTAAACTCTTTTTTCTTCATTCAGACTTCTTGTCATATGTGTAAACAGGGTGTTACAAAAGTAAACGCCGAAAAATCAAGAACGCGTATTCCTTGCCTATGAAATGAAGGTCCGTACAGGCATATTTACAGTTGCAACTGTAAATTAGGCAGAAGAAACTTTTTTCTTTCCAAATATTGCCTTATTCACATAACAACATTGACTACCTTATTTCCCTTGGTTCTCACGATGTTCTCTGAACATTAGAGGATATCCCTTTTCGTGGGGACCAGAACATAAAAAAAAAAAAACGTGAGATGACCGTCGTTATGTGTATAAGCAGTTAATCCAGCAGTATTCTATGATTCACACAGTCGAAGCTAGGCCTTCGATAGATCACTGAATACTGCCGCAGCTACTTCACCATCATTCATAGATTGCAAAATCATGATGCTAATCAGCTAATTTGATGAAGATTCGTAGAAATCAAACTTCCTAATTTCACCATTAATTTGCATCCGAGAACTCTCTGTCAACGATAGTCAAATGTCCTTTCTGCAGGATTTCCTATCCTATACACGTGAAACGTAACTGAAATACAGTAGAATTCCAGTAGAACATACACATAACACACTAACATATAGGCACGGCACGCACACAGAGAAACCAATCACTGACAAATGCGTCAGATTAGCAATTTACAAATCTGCTATTGCAGCAATTACTGGCTCATTATTCCGTAAGTAATTACCCCATTTACCGCGATACGACTATAGTGTAGGGTGGCATTCGACCGGACCTCATTATCCCTCGGCTTCGCATCGACTGTGCAAGAATGCACACCGAAAGTGGACGAATATTGTGTCTGTGGATCCCATAGAATGTGCAGGAATATCGACGTTTCGCCAATGACCGGATTACCCGGTAATGGGTACTTATTGGATCGTTAATTGCCAGAATTAATATTCAATGAAACACGATGAGTTACCGCGAATACTGACAACACCCGACGATGATCATTGAATCAGAGTCATTACTTGATGGAAATCCATGGCAAATGAAAAAACTTCACAAACGATAGGATTTCCACAAAATTCCCAAACACACGACATGTTTCGCTAGCACAGTAGTTTCGTCAGGTGATATACTGGTACGATGTATACCAGTACAGTACAGTACTGTACGTACCAGTCTATCACCTGACGAAGCTACTGTGTTAGCGAAACATGTCGTGTGTTTGAGAATTTTGTGGAAATCTTATCGTTTGTGAAGTTTTTACATTTAACTTAGATCAGTTTGAATCATTATCACGTGACTGAAGTATGTCCGGAATAACGGTAGCAAATACATCGCTGTGTCGTGGATTTGACTCAGATTATAAGGGGTGGCACAGAATTTTGCGATCTACCATTCAAATGGTATCAGATGGCAAAATTCTGATCTCGTTATCAATTAGAAAAGAAACAAAAGTTAATGAAGGTAAAGATCACAAATATAATAAT